ATACGATTCAACACCTCTGGGCTGGGACCCAGGGATTTGCAATTTTACCGAGTGCCTCGGGTGATATTTTGTATCTATTTTAAACTCTGATGAGTTTGAGAAGAGATGATTTAAAAGATTCCTGTAGAAATTCCTATTATTAAACATATATATTAATACCTTTTTAATTTTTTATTTCTTAGTTAATCCAGATTTTCATGCTGCTGTCTAGCAATTTCTTTTGTTTCGGCTAGGTTAACTTTGCCTGCGTGTCAGTTGACTTCACTGAAGATGGAAAAGTTACCAAAGCACAATGTTGGCAGTGTTTCTTATCCAGACACAGTTGACAAGTACATGTTTACTAATAGACATTGTTTGCAGAAATTGAACAAGAGCAAGAAGGAAGGGCTAGTTTTACCCAGAATGAGGCTAATGTCAAGGAGTGGAGATAGTAGTTGAAGGTGGCAAGTTACACTAAACATTTTAGGGAAGTGGAGTGTCATAGTAAACACCATGTATATTTGTCCCTCTTCTTTAGTTCTAATTCTAATGAATAAATGCACACATGCATTTATTGAGGAGTGTGCAAGATTTAATCCATCACAGGGAACAGAATACTGGACTCTAAACATTAAACTAGTAATACTCAGAAAGAGACAGGACTGATAGTATCAACTGGTTCTTTACTCACTGGGCATTACTGCCAGGACAAGTAAAATTTTGTCTATTTTTTTGTTTTTGTTTTTTTGAGTCAGAGTCTCACTCTGTTGCCCAGGCTGGAGTACAGTGGCAAGCTCACAGCCACCACAGCCTTAACCTCCTGGGCTCAGGCAATCCTTCCACCTCAGCCTTCCAAGTATCTGGAACTACAGGTGCCACCATTCCCAGCTAATTTTTTTGATTTATTACAGAGATGAGGTCTCGCCAAGTTGCCCAGGCTGGTCTCAAATCCCTGGGCTCAGGCAGTCCTCTCACCTTCACCTCCCAAGGTGCTAGGATTATAGGCGTGAGCCACCATGCCTGGCTATTTTGTCTATTTTTGAGGATGTAAATATCTGGATTAATAAGTGGAGAACTGACTGTGTTAATTTACTTGATGGTGTCATTACATCTACCTCTGATTCCCCCATGCTAGACTCCTTTCTGGTTCTAGAACATGCTAAGCACACTCTCACTTCTCGCCTTTGTGTTTGCTCTTCCACCTGTCTGTAACACTCTTACCCCAGGTATCTTCAGGGCTTGATCTCTCATTTCTTCCATGTCTCCACTCAAAAGTATTCTCATTGAAATAGCTGTCCCTGACCACCATATGTAAAATAGCTCTCCATTTGTCTCCATTGCTTTAGCCTGCTCTGCCCTCCTTCAAAGCACTTATCATCACCTAACTTACTGTATATTTACTTGATTGATTTACTGTCTGTTGCCCCCCACAAACATACACACTAGAAGGCAAGCACCACAGGACAGGGACTATGTTCTATTCATTAGTGAATCTCAACACCCAGTATATAGTGGCATTCAAGACATATTTGTTGAAGGAAGATATGAAAAAATTCTTGACACTGTGATCTTAAAAGATATTTTACATGGCTAAATGGAAACAAACATATGCATTTCTAAAAACTAAAGAGTAGAGTTTAATTAAAATGTGCAGTCATCTCCTTACTTGAAAGGTCATCCCACATGAAATATCTATAATTTGGGGCATTTTCTGAATAATGACTTTTTAAGATAAAACATACAAAAATGGCTAAAAGTAATTATCCTAGGCAAAAATGGGGTGATTAGGGAGAAGCAGGTATTTATCATTACCTTTATTATATTTTAAAAAACATTTTTGGCTGGGCATGGTGGCTCACACCTGTAATCCCAGTACTTTGGAGGTTGGGGTGGGAGGACTGCTTGAGCTCAGAAGTTTGAGGCCAGCCTGGGACAACATAGCAAGACCTTGTCTCTACCAAAAAAAATTAGCCAGGCGTGGTGGCACGTGCCTGTAATCCCAGCTATTTAGGAGGTTGAGGTGGGAGGATTGCCCGCGCACAGGAGGTTGAGGCTGCGCTATGATCATGCCATTGCACTACAGCCTGGGTGACAGAGTGAGATTCTGACTAAACACACACACACACACACACACACACACACACACACTTTTTTTTTTTTTTGGAACTACTGAATGTTTTTAAAACTGTTTGGCACTTACCAGTCACTGCCTTCATTAAAATTATGTCTGTTCCTGTCTAACCTTCTGCTACTGTGTAAGCCCCTTGAGATACCACCCAGATTAGACATCTTTGTAAACTCCTATAATACTTCTCTGAATGTGCTCCAAATGGTAATCAAAAAAATATATTTGCCAGATGAAATCTGTATCAAATCAGATGTACATATATATATATTTCTCTGATTATATTTCCTACATTTTGGCAGTAAAATAAGAATTTCTTAATCTATCACTGCCTTGTTTATACACAAGCTTGTTGACAAAGATCATAAATCTTCATAAAATTTAAGATGGGGGAGTAGAGAATTTTTAAACATGTACAAAGACAGAATGTCCTAAGAAGACTTTGTTTTAATTAGCGATAACATCAATAGTGCAGAACATAAAAGGCGGAACATTTCCATCTGAAAAGTCCACCCCATAAAAACGAGGATGCTGTTTCAGTCCAGATTTGCTAACTGGATACATCTCTCTATGCCGTCCAAAAGATTACCGAAATCTCACTGGGATTATGGAAGACTACCCGGTGTGTATTCTTTCGGGTTATTTCCAGAAAATACAGACAGGCCTGCTAGGGGGAATTCACCACGACGCTGATGGAGCTAAACCGTCAGGGCCTCTCACTTGCTCGGGCCAGGAAGCCTCAGTTTTCTTAGACTCACCCCCCCACACACACACTCAAAGTTGCAGGAGCTTCAGGCCCACCCCTGCCGGGCCCCCGTTAGAGCATTCACATCAAGAAAACTAGGCTAGAATTCACAAAAATGATTCAAAAGTCACGCACTGGCTTAAAGCATTTCTCCACAGTCCAGGGGGGGGGGGGGGGCGGGGGCTATTTGTGTATCTCTTTGCAGTATGGTAACCATGGCTTTACCCAGGATACACAATTTAGTCTTAGAGACCAAGACTAGATAAAAGCAACCCTCATTAAATGTTAAGCATACGTAATCCCAGATCATTATCACCCATAAAAACAAGGTAATGCATCGTGGTGAAACCAGATTGCAGGCGCTCAGTACTTGATTTCAATAGTAAACACGTTGTCCTTACTGCTGCGATATAAAAACCAATTCATTTTCTTTCTGAATTCGAGGCATGTTGTATCACAAGACGGAGCAAACTGAATGCTAATTTCGTGATTAATTCAACTAGATTTTCAACGATTTTTGACGCGAAGATCAAAACAAACCAAAAACAACCTGGTGCCACCTCGGCGTCCGGCCACGGAAGTTTTCAAACTCGGTAGTGGTTCCTTAAGAGCTACCGAGAGATTTGGGGTGAGGGTGGGAGTATTCGCAGACAGTCATACGCGCTCCCATTCCTATCCCTACCTCTAACTCCTTCCCGGGTTTGTAACACGAGTTCCGGGACGTTGTACTCCAGTACGTTGTGCTCGGTTAATTCTTCATTGGTGCCTCAAGTGGTTCAAATATGTGGCAGTTTTGTTTTCTAAGCATGACAGCGTGTGTTCTTAGATTCGCCCACCCCACCAAGCGGCTCTACTCTCAGGAAAACCCTTCCCCCCGACCCTGAACCGGTCCGCGGGGCCTCCCCACGCCTCCCTCGAGGTCCCTCCACTTGGGGCTGGTTCCCGGCCACTTCTCCGGGAGAGGCGCCCGCGGCCGGCGGCTCGCGGCCCCTGGGCGCCTGGCCCTCGCCCCCGCGGGGACACCTTCGGGAAGGTCTCCTCGGGACGGCCACAACAGCAGGGTAAAGTCAGCAGGGGACGGATCGAGGCGGCCCCTGGCGCACTCAAGAGCGCCCGGCCCGTTCCCAGCCCGGGACGCGCCCCAGGGTGGGGGAAGGGAGCGTCGCCACCGAATCCCGGGAAAGGCCGCGGGACCCACCTCCGGCTCCCTCCCGCTCCCGCCCTCGGCCCCACCTCCCCCGGCTCGCACAAAGCTG